GTACGTCAGGTCTTTTCTTTCGAAGAGCAGACTCTGTGGTGCAGCAATGCGTATCGTACGAACGTTAAAATGCCGTTCGATCGTTACTAAATACCTAAATACACGATCGTCTATGGGATCCTAAAGTTTATGCGCAGCGATTACTATTACCGGTGGTGTGTACCACACTTTTCCGATCATTTACGAACGCTAAAATTTCTTTCGCACCGACTAATCCGCGCCGTGGAAGGGGCGATGAAAAGTTCTTCTTCCCCTTCGACATTGTAGGGAAAATTAACAAAGGCGGCCCGGGAAGGAATCGAGAGATCAAGTCGAGGTGTAGTCCGACCTCATTAATTACGAAGTTATTAAAACGGGGCCACTCATCTTAGTCGGAACCTCCGCAAACATAGCTTAACCCGGATGATCGATGAGAGGTCGACGTTCTCCGTGCGACTGAGATACCTTCAGTTACCTAGAGATACCTGGATTTGGGCATTGTTTAAGTAAACGTTCATTTAATCGCTTGAATAAATTTAAATAAGAATTTAAATAAAGAAATTAAATAAAGAAATTATTCGTTATTTGGGAGTTTAAACAAAAGACTGAAATAATTACTTAGTATTTGTATTGATCTAAATAAATTGCTTAAAGTAATCAAATTTATTTCTTTTAATATCTAATAGTTCTATCCCTAATGATTATCTAAATTATAGTATTTGAGATACCTGGATTTGGGCATCGTTTAAGTAAATGTTCATTTAATCGCTTGAATAAATTTAAATAAAAATTTAAATAAAGAAATTATTCGTTATTTGGAAGTTTAAACAAAAGACTGAAATAATTACTTAGTATTTGTATTGATCTAAATAAATTGCTTAAAGTAATCAAATTTATTTCTTTTAATATCTAATAGTTCTATCCCTAATGATTATCTAAANAAAATTTAAACAAAGAAATTAAATAAGAAATTATTCGTTATTTGGGAGTTTAAACAAAAGACTGAAATAATTACTTAGTATTCGTATCGATCTAAATGAATTACTTAAAGTAATCAAATTTATCTGTTTTAATATCTAGTAGTTCTATATCTAAAGATTATCTAAAATATATTATCTATTTATTTATTTTATTTTACTTGTATTTATAATTTCAATTGTTGCTTGTTAATAGTAATGGTCAAGAATCGTTCCAAGCGATATCGTCGAGTTCACGAAGAAAGACGCAAGTTTTTCCGCAATAATAAATGTAAATTAATATTGATTACGCGATAAACGAAAAAACAAATTACTTATTATTCCCTTTTGACATGAATTCGTATTTAATTTGCAAATTTAATTTGCATTCGAATTCACATTTCATTCGCCAAACTGTGGTGTACGAAATGTCCATTGTATAATATCCAACAGACGAAAAAGAGGCAGAAATTATTTATTGTTTGTTTTTTCTTGAAATCCAAATAAAAGGTAACATTTTATTTTGCAAATAAGGAATAGCAAATAAATTGTTTGTGGAATTATTTAAACGACCTTTTAATTGCACAAGAAATTCATGTATATCGTTGGCAAATGAAATATCGATTCCATTTTTGTAATTCGTTATTTATTATCGAAAATAAAATTTGCCCATCGCCGACGGTAAAATCCATCGAACGGGGCCAGGTTAAAGGACGCCGGCGCAGTAATTAAGCCTTCTTGTTGCCGGAATAGCTGAAATTTCGAGCGATTAGCTGACAAATCGCGGCGATATCAATCGTTCACAATCGCATTCTTCTCTTCCATCCGGCTAATTCGTCTAATTATCGCGCGTTACCGCGACCCCGTGGCTCGCGAATTCAGCCAATTCCGCTCGTTTCCCTGGAACATGGGAAGTCCCAACCCTTTTCAAACCGTTACACGAACATAATATCATTTGCTGCGTCAATAGCTCTCGGTTTCCTAATGATTTATACCGTCGGCTTTGCGGAACTTCGCACAAAACTCGAATTCGCTTCCGCGTTTACCCATTCGGGGATTATTGAAATCAATTTTAGGCCTTTTTGTCGAGAAGTTTATGCCAATATCGGGACGGAGATCCCTCTATTCGTTCGATGAAATTCGTCGAGCCATGTACATTGTTGCGTCTCAATTTCGATGTTCTGATTCAACGTTCTGAAAGTTGCAAATGTGTCAGCGCTGCCGTTCACATTTATTCGAAACACGAAATTCGACGATTCAGTGTTAAAATCTATATACAGAACGCGTTCAGTTGATCTGCGTACAAAGGACTTTCGAGAGATATATCTCGCGCCTTTGACACTTTAATTATCGACCATCGAAACTCAATTGAATCGAAGCAATTTATTTACTAAAACGAATACCGAGAAATGAAAAAATGACGTTAATTATCGGACTGCGGATTTCATTCGTGTTTGACAAAAACGAGTGTACAGTATGAAATTGTAAAGAAATTATTAAATATTCAATATTTAATTGTTTCTGTAAAGAAATCATTTGATATCTAATATTTAATTATTTATTTCTGTGAAGAAATCATTTGATATTTATTTATTTCTGTGATGAAATCACATTTAATATTTAATTATTTATTTCTGGAAAGAAATCATTCGATATTTATTTATTTCTGTGAAGAAATCACATTTAATATTTAATTATTTATTTCTGTAAAGAAATCATTTAATATTTAATATTTATTTATTTATTTCTGTCCAGAAATTATTAAATGTTTAATGTTTAATTATTTATTTCTGCAAAGAAATCATATAATATTTAATTTTTTGATGATGATTGTATTTTAGATAAGACTTATATAGTGAAAAATACGTCGACCGGCCAATGAATGAACGCTTAATCAGATCGATAAGCATTTAAAAAACAAGACGTAATTAATAAGACGTAAACGTTACTTTTTCATGCAATCCAAAAAATGTTCATTCATCGCCTGATGTTTCATTCATGGAACTTGTCCCAATTTTTTTAGCAGTCAGATTCCGTCGCGACACGTACAGTAATTTTTCCCTAATTTTTCATACTTGTTAATATAATATATAATTTTTATTAAATAGTTGTTGACTATAAAAACGAGTCGCGAGACATGAATAATCGTGTCTCCCAAATCGTCCGCGTTTGTTTACAAAAGCTGAGCGTCGATTCACCGTGTCAGTACTCGGCAACAGATATTTCTAATTTGTCGTCGGGAAGCACGAGACGCTCTGAAACGGGAGATTAGTGATTTCGACGGTGCTCCGACTGCAACGTGAAACTCTTAGCACGCGCATTCGTGATTCCGAGGATCTCGCGTCACGCACCGCGCGAAGAGAAATATCGCCGCCCTTGCCGAATTAATGGCCGTTTCCGTGCGACCGGGTTTGCGGCAAAAATACCGGAAGCGATCGAGTCTCTGTGTGTCACGGGGGAATCCTCGGTCTCCGATAAGTCGCCGGCGAAACCGGGACGAGCGTGTTCCGTCGTAAATATGTCGACCGGGAGCGTCGCGTTCCATCAGTTTCCCGTAGTATCCGCGCCATTAAATCGAACCGGCCGATTTAACGGACAATGAATTACAAACCACCGCCGCAAACGGACAGTTACGCGAACGCCGGACGAGTTTATAGGTGTTTATTACGAATCGGACCGCGCCGCGTTGTTCCCGAATTCGCACGCTCCAAAAGTCATCCAGTTCTCCCGTCCAATGAGACACTAAAACGTGTTAGCCTGATCGGCGACCTGTTCGACCCACGATAAAGTATTTTTTATTTTTTTTGAAGTATTTTTTTTAAATAGTATTATAATAGTGTTTATATTAGATATTATCGTAATAGTGTTTATATTAAATATTATTGTAGTAGTATTTATATTAGATATTATTGAAATAGTGTTTATATTAAATATTATTGCAATAGTGTTTATATTAAATATTATTGCAATAGTATTTATATTAAATAGTATTGTAATAGTGCTTATATTAAATATTATTGTATAATAGTATTTATATTAAATAGTATTGTAATAGTGCTTATATTAAATAGTATTGTAATAGTGCTTATCTTAAATAGTATTGTAATAGTGCTTATATTAAATATTATTGTAATAGTATTTATATTAAATAATATTATAATAGTATTTATATTAAATAGTATTAAAATAGTGTTTATATTGAACAATATTGAAATAGTATTTATACTAAATAGTATTAAAATAGCATTTTTACGCTCGCGCCGGAAAGTATATGCTACCTTTTGAAACGGCGTAACTGTTTTAAAATTATTCCAAATAACATGAATTTTTTCGAGATGTTAGACCGATCAATTTTCTATAAAATGAGTGCACAACAATTTTTTCTCCATTACAATTAATTTGAATAATAAAATGATTAAAATATGATCTGTTTTAAAATTGTTAATCCGACACCGCAACGAAAGCTCGAAAAATGCATTTTCCAGATCTCGGCAACTTATCTTATAATTTCTTTTCAAAATTATATAAGAGAATTTCATCGAAATCGGTCGACACAATTACGAGCTGTTAACATTCAAGCTCGAGAAAATAGCTGTTCTTTCCACGAACCTATGAATGCTAATATATTCATTGGAATCTTATGGAAGAAGTCGAAGTCTGAAAGAAAACTGTGCTCGGCACCTGCGTCTCGCAATTAATGCAGACAATGTTGTTCGTCTTGCGTAAAGACTCGCGCTCGGTCCATTTATACCGTTCTTCTGGAATGGCGCCGCCGTTGCGTTGTTTTCGCGCTTCATTAAATAACGATGGATATCGGAATTCCTCGTGATCGAATGAAAAACCTTTCGCCGAGCTTATAGTCCGTGCGCGTTTATCAAGGTCTTCTAGTTCGACTAATCTACATTTAATGAACTGTTCGGCTGGCGTCTAATTCAGCCGCGGCGAATGTTTCCCTCGTTGAAGTATCCGAGCGACGCAGATTGACACTCGACTGGCGTGTATCGATTTAATGCGCGTCCGATCGGAACGAGTTTAATTGAAAGTCGATTTCCGTTTCTGTTGCAGGAATAATGAAGAGAGAAGCTGATGCAGGCGCTATGACAGGCTCAGGAGGACCGACAAGTCCTCACAAGCGTTACAGACAGGGTGACGATGAACTCCGTCTACTGATCCCCAGCAAGGTAAGGCTCCCGACTTTCAACTCGGCGCCCGATTGGTGCGCCAAGTCCTACAATTTTTTTTTTTTTTTTAAATGAATTTGTTTTCATATTCCCGAATACATGTGCAAGTAATCTAGAATAATATTATGTCATAAGCAATAGTAGTTTATCGGAAATAAATACTGGAAATTGGCATATTACCGCGATAAAGAAACATTTCGAGAAATATATGTATAATAGTAGAATATAATAGAAGGTATATAAAAAGTGATTGTAGCTTTTGTGATAATGATATAAAGCGATAAAGCTTTTTGCTTTATTCTCTTTTGTGGTTTTGATGGGATAAAAAGAGGAAAGTAATGCTTGTTCGAGAAATAAATATTATACATAACGATGAATTGTCTAACATCTCTTTATTTCCTTTTCTTAATGTTTAGGCACTGTTCTATACAGTCCATAACAGATTAGACGCCAGGGAGTGCCTAAATTAAAGTAATTTAACTATTTTCAGTTATTAAGTAATTCAGGTGTGGATCAAGGCTCTGATTTTCAGACAGATAATATAGTCCAAAATATATAGAGTTTTCCATAATTGTGTTAACAACAGGAAAGGGCTGATTCCTGAGGTCATTCGAAGCAACTTTTTCCTTAGCGAAAATGCAATCCGCGGCTTCGTTCACGAGTTATTAACGAAAAACGGTGACCAATGAGAGGCGAGCTCGGCTGGCGCGAGGCGGCGCAGCCAATGAGCGCACGCAGCACAGTTCCGATCATTGGCTCGGCCGCCTCGCGTCATCCGAGCGCTCGCCTCTCATTGGTCACCGTTTTTCGTTAATAACTCGTGAACGAAGCCGCGGATTGCATTTTCGCTAAGGAAAAAGTCTGTCTCTTATACACATCTAGATGTGTATAAGAGACAGCTCGCAAACAAAGCCGCGGACTGCATTTTCGCTAAGGAAAAAGTTGCTTCAAATTACCGCGAGTGACTTTTGGAACACTCTGTATATCCCTTTCGATAACAAGCACCAGCCCTTTCCGAGTATTAACATAATTATAGAACCTTCAGTATAGCGAATTTTGTCTTTGCTACGACTATACTCAAGATCTCCTCACGCTAATTTCTACATTCGAATTCTCGTTTGTTATACAATTTTTAATGAACAAAGCATCAATCCTAAAATTATAAAAATATCTATTGTATTACACTAGAAGGTTATAAAGCATTGAAATATCTTGTTTTCGCAAAAGACGACACTCGTTTTGACACTTTTAACACGTTGACTGCCACGCGTATTTACAACAAAATCTCCTACAGGCCACCCGTGCCGCTATAGGAAGCGTGCGCTGTTAATTCATATCTGTTCCGGTTCCTGCATGAACAGTTGGAATCTTTGCCGAGTACCGAATGGTATAACTTAAAATCTCTGCCCTTATTTTTTTTTCAATAATGAAAAGAGATCNGTTGGAATCTTTGCCGAGTACCGAATGGTATAACTTAAAATCTCTGCCCTTATTTTTTTTTCAATAATGAAAAGAGATCGGATTGCCCGGAAGGAGAAGCATAAATAAAATTACATCGTCAGATTCTGATTTGGATACTGATAAATATAATCTTAGTGATAATGAATGTTACGAAGATACTATTGACGAGATTTTACGAGAGAATTGGTCATGGAAGAAGAAAGAAATGT